TACTGGCCTATTTTTTCGTCAAGTATCTCAGGAGCATTGATCTGCTAAAATACATCAGAAAGAAGATGATTATGTTAACAAGAAACGATAAGACGATAAGTGCTTATAATCCTCTGGTAAGACTATTTCCTCGGTTATCCATCTCAGTCATTTCGGGGGAGGAATATGTTGAAAAAGCATTTATTTATTTATCTATTTATTTTGTTTCAATCAGTTCTTCTCTTAAGGTGGATTTCCACTGTCGCGTAAAATTTACGTGCGCAGGCACGCAAAAATTACGCATCAGTATAAATCCACCCTAGGTCGAATTATAATTAACCTCCAAATCGTTCCCAGGCCCCGAGGCCTTTCCCTCACAATAGCTCAAAGTCCTGGGAACGAATTTGCCATACTGTTCATTGGCCTGCGTTTTTTCTATTTTCTTTTTCTTTTTTGTTGAACGGACTCAGATTTGATCCAGAGCCTGTACGTTATATACACGTCACTGCAGCTTACCTTTGTTTCATGAGTCCCATCCCGGCCTTTGACCTGTCTATGTTGTAGGGTCATGGTCGCAATGTTATCAAAGGGATTTCTCACAACATGAACAAATTTCACTTGGGCTCCGGACGCTTTCTCCAAAAGGTGAACTGCATCGACTCCATTGTCCGAGGTCATCGCACCAGCAGTAAAGGCTCCCGACTTATCACCGATTATCTGTTGATGAAAGAATGCTTTTGAGAGGCTGTTTTACGCGGAGCGCCCTCTCCACTTCCTTGCCCTAGCGGTAAATAAATCCCCTGCGGTTTTTATTTTCATACGCGCGCTCAACGATCCCTTAAGAGAAAATAGAGGGTCTGTGACCAGGCTAGGACACTTCACGTTCTTTGCATGCATTCCTATCAGCACATATAAAGCTGATCGCATATTGTAAAGTCTTCCTTTGCCTTCTCGCAAGCCAGTATTCAAATTTTCTAATTGGAAAATCAATAAAACATTACAGGTCTCACGGCATGATTCATAAAAAAGAAAAATGACACTGTTTTACCTCAATGTACGAGTCGAATGCTCCTTGCCATTGATTTGGGACATAATATCCGTATGCGGACGACTTGTTTACGACGGTATCGTTAAACACACGTGATCTTCTACCGTGTGAAACAGCGCGATGTGAAGCCCTAAACATCGTGTCGTAATAAGCGTATATTGAGTGCTGCATCCACTGATCTGTTCTCGCTTTCCACCGATTAAAAGCCATTGTCTCGTCTGAAATAACCATGTGCGGATGAGCGTCCAATAGTGAACCGAGGAGGCTGTGACGACTTCGTGGGTAACCAATGAAAAAGACGATAGTGTTCACGTGACTGTATTTCTTTTTCAGTAAACACTGTACCCTACTGATGACACTAGAGATGTAAATTAAACAACTAACTACAGGATTTTCCTTCGCATTTATTTACTGAAAATGTCCTGCAGAAAACTCAGAAAATGGCATTTCTGAGCCGCGAAATTTGAAAAATTTTCTGGCAGAGCATGTCCCCACACTCCCTTAGTTTGCAGTACCTTCGGGGGTCTAACTTTTCTTTTCGTGCGTACATCTACAAAACCTCACGCTATACCCCTGCATATAAAGGGGTGTCCGTAATTTCTTGCACTGATAAGAGCTCTTTTACTTCTTTTTTTAATACTACCTCAACTTTCTTACATTGCACCATGTTATAGTTTTTAAAACTAATATACAAAAGTATTGAAGATACTGTTGATACTTCGGTCTTGATATGAAATAATGGGGCTCGGTCAAACCCACATCTCAGTGATTAGACTCGTCCTCATAGTTCAATAAATCGTCCACTTTGGTAAAATTTGTCTCCCACCTCACTTCTAATATCGAACACTCCAACGTACTTACTAGTTTGTTAAGTACGTGTGGCACTTGTTTCGAGCCGAGCTGACCTGCTTTTTCAACTGAAGTATTAAGTCAGTTGCAGTTGTTAATTGCAGTTGCTGATCGATGATCTGTGGTGTGCGCATGTGCATAACAGGCCAGGTCAGTAGGTTTATTCATTCATTCATTCATTCATTCATTCATTCATTCATTCATTCATTCATCTAAGAAACAAACCACTTTCGAAGTGATCTGGCTTCATAAAGGTCCAATAATTTATCAAAACGCGGCCTATAATAGAGAGAAATTGACCATTATTTATTTGGCTACTAAGAAAACATCTTTACCAAAGGAACCGAAATGTTCTCTTCCAGTAGTATTTACTTGTCAGACTTGTCAAAAGAATAACCTTCAAAAAAAGAAAACCTTTTCATTTGTTCATACACTGTTTTCTTTTGATTTTCAGTCCATGCTACAAAGTCACGTGTTATAGAAGGAACTGGGTCTACAGTGTTCGCGCAATCCAGGATATAGTTCTCCGAGCACGTGATTTGTAAGAACGCGCATATTTTTCTCAAAGTGTCCGCTGGTCTTTTCACTATTTCCATGCTGGGGATGTCTAGAACTCGACCGGGAAAGGAAATTCTGGCTTTGTTGCATCCTTCCGCCCAGTTAAAGTACTGGCCTATTTTTTCGTCAAGTATCTCAGGAGCATTGATCTGCTAAAATACATCAGAAAGAAGATGATTATGTTAACAAGAAACGATAAGACGATAAGTGCTTATAATCCTCTGGTAAGACTATTTCCTCGGTTATCCATCTCAGTCATTTCGGGGGAGGAATATGTTGAAAAAGCATTTATTTATTTATCTATTTATTTTGTTTCAATCAGTTCTTCTCTTAAGGTGGATTTCCACTGTCGCGTAAAATTTACGTGCGCAGGCACGCAAAAATTACGCATCAGTATAAATCCACCCTAGGTCGAATTATAATTAACCTCCAAATCGTTCCCAGGCCCCGAGGCCTTTCCCTCACAATAGCTCAAAGTCCTGGGAACGAATTTGCCATACTGTTCATTGGCCTGCGTTTTTTCTATTTTCTTTTTCTTTTTTGTTGAACGGACTCAGATTTGATCCAGAGCCTGTACGTTATATACACGTCACTGCAGCTTACCTTTGTTTCATGAGTCCCATCCCGGCCTTTGACCTGTCTATGTTGTAGGGTCATGGTCGCAATGTTATCAAAGGGATTTCTCACAACATGAACAAATTTCACTTGGGCTCCGGACGCTTTCTCCAAAAGGTGAACTGCATCGACTCCATTGTCCGAGGTCATCGCACCAGCAGTAAAGGCTCCCGACTTATCACCGATTATCTGTTGATGAAAGAATGCTTTTGAGAGGCTGTTTTACGCGGAGCGCCCTCTCCACTTCCTTGCCCTAGCGGTAAATAAATCCCCTGCGGTTTTTATTTTCATACGCGCGCTCAACGATCCCTTAAGAGAAAATAGAGGGTCTGTGACCAGGCTAGGACACTTCACGTTCTTTGCATGCATTCCTATCAGCACATATAAAGCTGATCGCATATTGTAAAGTCTTCCTTTGCCTTCTCGCAAGCCAGTATTCAAATTTTCTAATTGGAAAATCAATAAAACATTACAGGTCTCACGGCATGATTCATAAAAAAGAAAAATGACACTGTTTTACCTCAATGTACGAGTCGAATGCTCCTTGCCATTGATTTGGGACATAATATCCGTATGCGGACGACTTGTTTACGACGGTATCGTTAAACACACGTGATCTTCTACCGTGTGAAACAGCGCGATGTGAAGCCCTAAACATCGTGTCGTAATAAGCGTATATTGAGTGCTGCATCCACTGATCTGTTCTCGCTTTCCATCGATTAAAAGCCATTGTCTCGTCTGAAATAACCATGTGCGGATGAGCGTCCAATAGTGAACCGAGGAGGCTGTGACGACTTCGTGGGTAACCAATGAAAAAGACGATAGTGTTCACGTGACTGTATGCTTTGTACAAGTCGCTCTGTGAGATGACTTCGTCTATGAGAGAAAGCGTTAAAGAGTTTAGCTGTCTTACGTAACTCTTTCTATAACCTTGTTAGTGGGACCATGCCGTGTTTACATTTAGGGCCCAATAAAACGTTTTCACATGACGTCACGGCGGCCAAATTGGTGTTCCAAAACAACGAAATAACGGCCGTGTTGGTGTTCCAATTCAATCCTGCTGGAGTTGATCATGAACTCTTTTATTATGTAAACGCTTTCTTTTGCTTCAGTAAATTTGCGTAGACGCTGGCCACGTGAGTGAAAACGCTCTTTATCATCTTTTAGGTACTTCAGTCTCTTCATCTCGTGCCAGATCTGTCGCCTCAAGCCTCGTTACTAAGAGATCTGGGCACGAGATTAAGTCTCCAGATGATTTCTTTCTCGCAAATTTGTCCGTCACTAAAATGACTGTTCAAATTCCTGTGAAAAAGATTCACCCCAAACGAAAAAGCCACTTAATGTGAGCGTGTGTTTGATAAGCGTGAGCGTGACATGTGAAATCATCTCATGATTTGCGTGATTGAGCGCAAAAGTGATAAGTGGCAGCCCGGGCACACTCAATAAAGTTTTATACGAGGAGGGTTCGTCCCGAAGTCGACCAGCCCTTACCCTTTCTGTCGCGTCTTTTCTCGCGATTTTTAATTATGTTAATGTATTTTCTTTGTTTTAAAACACGTGACTTTAGAATGTTGCGGTCGGTCACAAAATTTTGAGCCTAAGCGTCGATCGATGTTTTCGCGTGGATTTTATTTTTCTCTTTTGTAGTTTGTTGGTTCAGTTTGATAATACGGTTTTGCACAAAAAAGTTTTTTCAAGTATCGATTATCGTCGATGTATTTGTTTTTGCCCGTGAAGGAGAGGTGAAAGGAAACTGTGAATTGAACAAGATTTAATGAGGACTAGAAATTTGTACTAAGTGTGTGACCTTCTAGTCGAAGTTCATCACACTTTCATAGACTATTTTTGACGGAAATCTGGGGTAACCCTTTCATATACCTTCTACAAGCAAATACTAAGTACCACTTTCACATACCTATATTAATTAAGAACGGTTTTAGGTAAGAATAAATCACTAAACTAGGAAGTCATACCGTTAAATTGCGTCTTTTAGCCTTTTCATATCGAAATGACACTTTTCCCTGCCCTTTCATTTACTTCAACTAATGAAATCCTGAAAACCTAAAACTTGAGGAGGCGGGGGTCTTCCTCTCTATGCCATTACAGGGGGTATCCCCTGGGGTGGCAGTTACCCTATACGTATATTTCTTTACCTGTATTGGTATTGTCTACAGTTTCTCTTGCAGGTTCAGCATTCAAAACGGTGAAATCGATGTTGAGTGTTTTGCCTGTGAATACAAAAACATACAGCTCAAGATGACGTTGGCATTAACATAACCATCAGTCATAGGCTCCTGATATAGCTTAATTACAAGAAAGATAGTCATAATCAAAATCACCAACCTCCGCTTTCTCGTCTAGTATGGGCAGAAGGTTACAGACACATGCGCAGGTTAAAGCCCGTCAACACTGGCACTTCCATAGGGCAATTGTCTCAATATTTTGAAGCTATGTGCAAACGGGCAAAACAACTGCCAACATTGTTGGCGTGGCTAAGTTATTGACCTGTGCAACAGGGCGTGCAAACGAATGCAACTTGTAACACCCGACGATGTGAGTTGTTGGGAAATAGTGTTACGTCCGTTTCCCGGGGGGGTGAAGCACTTGGGTTAATGTTTGCTGGGTATGTACCGCTAGCCTCTCAGAGTCCCTGCCCCGAGAATCGTCCCATTTTGATCCCTACTTACCCCAAAAGTCCGAAAATTTGCGACCCCATTCTAGTAACTCTACTGAAAATGCGACCCCATTATAGTCACTCCAATCGTAAAAATGCGACCCCATCCATCGGCACATTCCTATTAGTCTCTTGTAAGGGAGCACCCCCTCCCCCCCCGGTCCGTTTGCACGGGGCTTAAGTGTCACTGAGTGCTATCGTTGGTGTTTGTGAAGCGTGGCTGAATCCCTGCTGGCAATTCAAAACAAATCGCGAGAATTTCTGCTTCCCGATGCCAACAACATGTGGTGGAGAGCAAGCAATCACACGACGACCAGCCGGTCTGACAACAACAATTAACGTCAAAAACAATTAGTTTGGGCAGAAGAAAAACAATTGTTTTTTGACGTCTGAGTTTGGGGAGCAACAACAAGGAAACTTTGGCTTGTGCAGATGGTTATACCAGCAGACGGAATGCGAAAAATTTTCTTGACTTTCAACTCCTGCTACTTGAATGAAACTCACCCTAACCTGCCATCAAGGGGTCCTTTGACGCCGGTTTTTCTTTATGAGATACCCGCTGATTTCGTGCCCTTCCGCGAAAAAAAAAACAACAATAACAAGCCTAATCGTAGGTTAAACTCACCACTATCACTTCCCGTCTTCGGCTGAGTTGCGTACCGATCTTCACTCCAGAACAAAATAGCCAGAAAAAGTCCGACTATAATCCCAACCAAAATCTCGCGAAGTTTTATGAACGAAAGCCACCACATCAGTGCCCTAGTGAGGAGGAAAAAAGTATATTTTTTTATGATGGCTGACCTCGTGCTGCCATGAAAATGGCGACTGATGTCATATCGACTGAAGTTCTATTACGAAACGCATCCCTTGAAAAAGGCTCAAACATTTCTAAATATTTCGAGATACCGTTTAAATAATTATAGTTTTTTGTTAGTTTTAAAACTTGAATAAACTGACTTTGAATCACTTAGAATACGCCGTATTTTTTCTTAATAGAAATGTGGTGGTGCATTTTAAGCCTGGTCCATGGCCTGGCAGTTAGCATTAGGGCGAGTTTCCATTCGATGCAGACAGAAAAATGCTTTTGCCGGCGTTCAGATTATTTTAGTGTTCGGAATAGTTTATTTAAAAAGTTTTCAGATATCAGAGATAAATGGAGAGATGCTGGGCACTACTATTTGTGAAGCAATTTGTGCGTACGTTTATAGTTAGAAGAAAATGTGCCGCCGATTGAAGAATTTAAACTTAAAATTTACATTATCTGCATATTTGTGGGAAATGAAAATACTAAACAAAGCTCTTCCACCATTCCTTGCGGCGAAGAATATTTTCAGAAAAAAAAAACAAAGATATATTCATAAAGGCGACAACGATGATGCTGATAATAATGATAATAACGAACGACCTTACCTCTTCATATTCCAGTTCATCGATTAGAGAAATAAAACTTAATGATATTTTTTTAACTCAATCACCTGACTTGTTAAATGCTTTGATTCAATGATCATTTCTCATCCATAAGACCTTAACTTGCTAACGACTTCCCATTGTCTAATAGCAATGACACCTGTCATCTGGAATGTGTCAAAGACATTGATAATAGATTCGAGTTCCGCCCTACTAATAGAGTGTCTTCATATGACGTCACGGCAGCCATATTTGAAACGACGGCCATATATGTTGGTGTCCCAAACCAGTCCTGTGGAAGTTGAACTCTTTTCTTTATGCAAACGCTTTCTTTTGTTCCAATAAATTTGCATAGATGTTGGCCAAGTAACTGAAAACACTCTTCAGTAGACAGGCTACTGAATAAACTAAATAAGTCCAAAGGGGCTGGTCTCGATAAGATATCAAGTTGGCTTATTGGAGATTGCGCTGACCTTATTTCGCCATATATTTCAATTAATTATTTTTAATTGCCTGATAAATGGAAATTGGCCAAAGTTACCCACATATTCAAACAGGGTGATAGAGGTGACATGAATAATTATCGCCTAATTTCAGTGTTTTCAGCTATAGCAAAATTCTTTGAGAGAATAATTTATAATCAGATTTCTTCCTATTTATCCAAAAGTAATATTCTGTCAAAATATCAGTCTGGTTTTCGATCCCTTCACTCAACTGTGACCGCTTTACTGGAAGCCACAGATAATTAGGCCTTTAAAATCATGAGATCGTGGCTATGTTAACGCCGTTTTCTTTTTAGATCTAAAGAAAGCAGTTTGACACAGCCAACCACTCTATTTTATTATCCAAACTATATTCATATGGAATCAAAGGAAATACCTACGAATTGCTCTCTTTACTGACTTAGACAATCGTACGCATGTAAAAATACGCTGTTAACGGTTTCCTCTCTAAAAGCTGCACCCTAACTTGTGGAATCCCCCAGGGGACAATACTAGGGCCTTTGTTGTTTCTCTTGTATATTAACGACTTACTGTCTTACTTACTTATTGTCTATCAAATTCACAAACTGAAATGTTTCCAGATGATATTCACCTAACGTGTGCTGTCAAAGACATCTGCTCCATTGAGGTTTCTTTAAATCGGGATTTGTTAAATATAAAACGCTGGCTTATTGCCAATAAAATGACTCTATAACCATGTATAAATAAAGGTAATGATGATGATGACGGTATAACGATGATGTTGATGATGGTGATGATGATGATGATGATGATGATGATGATGATGATGATGATGATGATG